TTGTATTTATGTCCATCCTGCTACACTCAAGTATCAATCTTAAAACCCAAAATAATACATCCTTGAGAAAAAGTAAAAGAAGTAAATACAAATACCTGGCAATGTGGGAAAACCAGAAAGGCTTAAAAACATATACTGTGTTCAAACTGATTGTTTCTACTTCCAGAGTAACTTTGGCAATCAGCTACTGCACCTGTCAATAGTTAATGGTGTAGAGAAAGTTTCATTCAGATAAACCTTAAGGGTTGTCCTTCTAGAGCTCACTTGACTCTAGTATTAGACAAATTAATCAAGAGTCTATTGAGGATTCACTATTTCAATGCAAATCTGCTCAAGTGAGCTGAGAAATACCTATGTTAACCATTTTAAGACTTTTTTTATATCACTTCCATTGAATCAGAGCTAGAAAACTGACTTGATTGAAGAGTTACTGCCTCCAGTTTTGTACAGAACATTTAGAAAATAAAAGGAAAAAAAGAAGAAAAAAAGAGAAGAATTGAGGAGAATCAGCAAGTGTAGTAATTTCACCAGTAGAACTGCTGCAGGGTACCATGCAATTTAGTGATGTTTGAACCATTACTGTTGCTACAATTTTTTAATTTGGCAGACCACTTTACAATATTTTAAAATGTCTTCCAGAAAGGCCAACCTGAATAAGACCCAAGGCAGACAGATGAACTATAAAGAGATGTCTACATTTCCATGATTTTGCTATTTGTATTAGCATCTGGCATTAATGATAAAAATGCAAGCTCTTCATATAGTTGCAAGCAACTAAACTAGGCAATAGGATAAACTTACAAAAGAAATCACTGCAGAATTTCTTAAACAGTATACAAAGTTCTCTACCACTGAGACACAAATTATTTCTCATTTGCCCACAACAGACCTACAGAAACTCTAACATAGTAATAACAATTTGCTGTATATTTCTGAAGACCAAAAATGTTACAAGAAAACACTTTGACATTGAATTTAAAAAGCCAAATCAAAGCACAGAGGAGCACACTAACTGAATCATGAGAAGTCTTTTTGCTTCAGCAAACTCTTGGACTTTGGACACTTTTGGTCAGCAAACAGCTTGACAAGTCAAAACATTTGTTAAGTTCCACAGAGCATCCCAAATTTACATCTCACTTAGGACCTCCAACACCTTAACACTCTTTTTCCTAAGGGTTTCAATTAACATAAAGAAGTAAATAATGGATAGATTGTAATAAAAGAAATCAGATGATATACTACACAACTGTAAAGAGCATAAACAACCACACTGGACAGCAGCTGAGGTCAGAAATTAGAGAGACCAAATTTTTATATAGATAAAAGCATCATATTTAAACAGAATCCACAGTGTAAAAAAATGAGATGTTATACCATAGCACAGCTAAGTAGCTGAGAGACATCACAGAATGGATGGGCAATCCCACTTCAAGCACTGGAAGCACTGACATGAAGTTCAGTGTTCCCAGCAAAAGAACTTCAGTAGCAAAATGCAACCTGTTTAGTTGATGAATCTTTTCTGCTCTTTGGGTTAGCTAGAGTGCTAATGGAGATCCTCACCCAGATAAAAGCACATTCTAAAGTAGTCTTTACAACAGAGATGAGATAAAAAGTGGAAATTCTTGCAAATTAACAGGCACAACTTCTTTCTAAAAGTGATACAGTGAACTAAAAACAGTTGTAGTAACACAAAATTACATTTGGATAAGTACATCAGGTCACCTTGAATGCATATCAAAAAAAGGCCCAAACAAATCTGAAAAAAGTTGAAACACCAAAAATCAAAGAATTACAGCAAGGGGCACTAGAGGGTCCAAAGGATGAGTGAAAGGAGTTAAAAACATGGCAATGCATTCACACATATAAGGAAACCACATGGTTAAAATAGCAAAATGAGAAAAAAACCATCTCCTGGGATCTTGCAGAGAAAAGTAGAGGATGTCAGAAGATTCTCAGTCATCACTGCAGAGATTAAAGAACATTTACCAAAGCAATGTTAGAGTTCTTTGTTATCATAGACGCTGAAGGCAACACGGCCTCAGAACTGAGACAGGACTGTGGGGTTTTTAATATAAGATACAGTTCTCTGTAGATACAGACAATGCTTTAGGTTGTAAATGTGTGGTTTGTATGGTGCCTAGCCTAATGGAGAACTCTCCCACTTAACATCAGAGATGCAAAGAAAACAATTATTGCACAACTTATCTTCAATAAAAATCATGTTTAAGTAAGTCCTCACTTACATACTGTAAGACACAATGTACCCACACAGCAGCATAATGATTGCTGTCCTATGATCTGGGCTAGGTAAGCATAGGTTACAAAGTAATCCATAATTGTTCAGCCATCTTTATTTCAAAAGTTAGCTGGGCTGCTGATCCTCAGTCTTGCTGGAAGGCTTCTCCACAGGCACCTGCCAATGTCCAAGACATTTCCACATTTCACATCTCATGAAACCTGAGGGAGTTGATTCATGACCAGGTGTTATGCATTTGTTTCTATAACAAAACTGTCCTTCATCTAACAATGCTTCAAATAACAATGCAGCAAGTACTGTTACTTTGTCTAGTCTTTAAAACTGATACTCCTCCTTTTGAGAGGCCACATCTTTAGGATGGATTCTGCAAGCTAGCAATAAGCAGCCAAACTTTCCAGTAAAGACAAATAACAAACACATGTTTCCCTCTCTAAGTATCCCCAAACTGTCAAATTTTTCCCTGGTTTTCACTTCTGTACTCTAAATAAAATCATTGGTATAGTCATAAGAGTCTGTAAATGTAATTTTCAAAGATTAAGTAGCACTACAAAGCTAAAATAAAGTGATTTTTTTTAAAAATTAGGACCGATTTGAGACCTTCTAGTATATGACTTCCGAAAGTAAAACCTAGACTTCTATTTCTAAAAGATGTTTAGTTCCACTTTGGACAATACAGTGTACCTGAAAACACCTATATAAACTACAGTTAGAACTTAATCTATTTGGAGTTTACTGTACATATTTTCTGATAGAGAGACCTAAAAGCAGATTATTGATGCTGGCATTGTCTTGAGTGCAGAGATTTTGAAATAAGCTGTTAGCCTCAGTGGCTTGAGCTGTGAGCAAGGCCCTGGCAAGAAGCCACATCCTCTTTTAAGAACTGCTGTGAAAGTGAATATTTCTATCAAGCAAAAAGTGCCTCAGATTTGAGGTTTTCATACTTCTCAGTCTCAATTACTTGCTGTCTCAAAATCATTTCCTCATCTGACTTTCACATCCCTTGACTGTGGAAAGCTGACTGGCTGCTGTGAGCACTCTGCTCCTCCAGCTGTTCCTTTATTCACACAGGAGTTACCATCCCTCACCTCTCCCTGCAGCTGCAACTGTGAAAACAGCATCAGCTTCACGCTGTAATTGCTATGGCTGTCTAAGGGACTCTAACTAGGAGTGTTGTACACTAACAAATTAAAGAGGTTACATGTCAGTAGAGTGCCTAACACATTGCCCATACTGCTTCATCCCCCCCAAAGACATCTTTTAATATAAAGAGAGAAAATTTTACTCAGACTACAAATAAAAACCCATGGAATGCTTTCCTTATTTAGTCAGAGATTCAGTTTAGCAATAAATTTATTTTTCAGATATTGACAAACATGTAAAGTGATATTTAAAATATTAACTACCATATTCAGTATTCAAAATTACAACAGGCATGCAGGTTTTTAAGGCATTAAAATTGAAAATCTGTATTTAGTATGCTTAATACTGGGTGATCATCATAGCATGTCCAGTCCAAGCAAAAACTAGATTTAATTAACACACACTGCACAGCATAGGTCAGCAATTGAAAAAAATTATTTTAAAATAAAATTTAAAAAAACGCCACTTCTACAAACATTGCAATATCTAAACTCTTTTAAGCTTAAGTATATTTGAAATCTTTCCCTCTTAATTCATTATGTGATAGGCAAACTAGTCCTATATGGCTCAGCCTTTAATGAACATTGGTCTCACTATGATTGCCACATTCAAAGAGGGACAACAGATATTATTTCTGTGTCATCACCACATTTTATCACTGGAGCTCTGTGCCCACCAAACTCGAATCCTAAGAAGCCAGGACACGTAAACACTCGGTGTGTGGTAAAAAACCTCCTTTCTCCAGTACAGTGCGCATGGCTGCGGAGTGACTCCAGAAGTACAGACACTTTTCTCCCCTTTCAGGCGCGTACTGCTATGCTGGGAAATGCCAACGAACACAAAACTTTCCCTACATTAACTGTCCGCACACAGCGGTCTGTGAGCAGTCAGATCTGTCAAGGGGTTCCTTATTGAAGGGGTGGGGGATCACTGCCTCAAAAAAACATCCTGCTTGCATTTTTCTGAGACTCTTCCTCCTTGCCTCTATAGTTACAGAAACCACCAGCTTAGGTGCTCCACCTACGACAGACCTAATAATTTTGACCTAACCGGGTCAGTCTGAGGAGATATTCCACATCACAATTTGGATACGAGAGTATGAAAGACTTGAGATTGGGGCATCCCTGTTCCACCTCATCTCCGGGAGGAAGCGGTCTCGGGGGTACCCGCAGATGCTGCGGCCTGCCCGTGCTCATCTCATCCCTTCTAGGGAGGTTTCGAGGGGAGTCCCCGCCGCCCAGGCCCACAACTTTCTCCTCCACGCGAACTCCCTGGATAGGCAACGGCGGGAACGCGAGGGACACATCACGGCCACCAACCCTGCGTCCCCCTCCCCAGCTCCCACAGCGCGGGAGGAACCAGAGGGGCCGGCAGGAGGGAAGGGAAGGGAAGGGAAGGGAAGGGAAGGGAAGGGAAGGGAAGGGAAGGGAAGGGAAGGGAAGGGCAGCAGAGGCAGGGAGAAGGCGCAGCATCCCAGCGCTTTGCCTAGTGGCTGCCCCGCATCGCGGGAAGGGCCCTTCCCTCCCCCGGCTGCGGCCGCTGCTGGAGCCCCCGCCCCTTCCCCGCAGAGCTACTGCCTCGCTCCCGCAGCAGCGCCGCTCACCTCTCTTGGAGCCGGGGCTGGGGCTGCCGCCGGTGGCTCTGGAGCTCTTGCGGGAAGCCATCGCACCTCCCGTCGGGCAGCGCAGGGGGCGGAGCGGGAGCGCGTCGGGAGCCGCCGCCGCCACTCGAGCCCTGCGTGCGGCGGGAGCGCGCCTAGGCCCCGGCAGCGCGACCCCGAGCGCTCCGCGGCCCCGCCCCCGCGCCCGCCTCTAGCCAATCGTGTCAGAGAGGCGTGGCGCCGCTCGCCTCCGATTGGCGGCGGTGCCGTGAGGGGGCGGGGCGGCGGCCCGCCGGTTGCGCGCGCCCGCCGCGCTCTCCCGCCGCCGCCGGCCCATTTGAACGTGGCACAGGCGGGCGCGAGCGGCGGCCTCTCGCGAGGGTTTGGGCGCGCCCCTGGCGCTGAGGGAGGGAGGCAGGGAGGAAGGTGAGGGGTGACATTTACATGGCGATACCGCCTAAAGCATCCCGCCCTGTGCCCTAAACCGCTCTCCGCATCCAGTTAAACGCCCAGGTTGTGGGAACACATCGTTGATGTGTATAAGCGTCTAATGGTGTAAGAGGACGGAGCCAGGCTCTTTTCGACGGTGCCAAATAATAGGACAAGAGGCAATGGGCAGAAACTGATGCACAGGAAGTTCCACCTGAACATGAGGAAGAATTTCTTTATTGTATGGGTGACCAGGTACTGGAACAGGCTGCCCAGAGAGGCTGTGGAGTCTCTGTCACAGGAGATATTCCAGAACCGTCCGTACATAATCCTGTGCCGTGTTCTTTGGGCAGACCCTGCTTGAGCAGGAGGTTGGACCCGATGCCCCGCTCTGGTCCCTTCCAACCTGACCCATTCTGTGCCACATTCTACAGAACAGCGGGGCAAACCTTCCAGAGAGCGCCTTTGCAACCAACAGAGTGAAAGTGTTTGAAGATTGTCATGTCAGACGATGAGTTCCCCACCAAGGCTTTTTGAGGCTTTAAAAATACTTTTAATTGACTCTGATAAAATAAACCTGGGGTTTTGCAGGAGTTCTGGATGCCTCTTGGTACCGATATTCAGTTTGAGACTGGGTTAAATACCAGTTTGGCATGACACTAAAAGTCTGAAAGAAAAAAGCAAAACCCAGCTTTGAGTCCTGACCATAAATACAGTGTTTTGAGTCAAAACAAACAATTTTGCAAATTCGAGAGCTTTGCAAGTGGATGTGTGGAGAAGGAAGCCTTTACTCAAATCAAAGGTTAGCACTGTGTTTTGGATAGTAATGCCATGAAGCTAACCAGAAATTAATTTACTGGAGAGCATTAATTAGTATTTTTAAATGGGATTTGCACTTAGATAGTTAGTCAAGTAACAGGATATCACTGTAGGAACACTGATATCACTTCAGACAGTAGAAGTAAAAGCAACTAGTTTTAGGAACATCAAAAAGAGTGAAGCCTACTCTCATGTGAGTTATTTTGCATCTAGTGCAGTTGAGTATCTGAACTTTTCACTTGGTTGGCACTCTACCAGAGTCTTATTTTCACATGATGTGTTCATACTTAATATTTTTTGAGATGCTTTCTTTTTGTTTGGTGAGACTAAAGCTGCTGGACAACTTTAAAAGCTGCTCGGGAGGAGTAGGTGTACTCATGACTATGTAGAATTTATCACAAAAAAAGCTGACAGGATGAATTATTAACATTTCAGCAAATTGGAAAGTACAATGCAAGGAATAAATTGTCCTAAGAAAAGCACACACACATAAAAAATTATAATCTGGTACTGGGATTAGTGAAAATACTGTAATTAGTAAAAAAAGGGATGTGTGACTATATTCTTGCAAGTAGCAATTACTGTCAATTGAGATAACAGCTGTTTGTGGTTGATGTGGGGGGCAGTTTCCTGAAGATACACTACTGGAAATGGCACTTTGGTAAGAAAAGAGATACTGAGAACGTTGAAGCCAGTGGACAGGCAGGGACACTTAGAAAGATATTGCTATTGTTTTAGTGTGAATGAACTTTTTGGCTTTAAATAGACTGTCAAGTCCCTTACTTCTGTTTACTTTGGCCCACAGCTGCCAGCACTTTGTAATTGGTGTATTCAGTACCTGCTTGTACACTCTTCTGCCCAAGAAATCTCCCTTGCAAGATTAAAATATACTCCCAGAGGTACAAATGCTCATAACAGTGTTATATGTTTATGCTTATCACCATCTTTCTGCATGATCTTGTTGTTTGGAGGTTTCTGTTGATCTCTTATAGCATCAGGACTTTTTCCTCCCAGCCCACAGGCAACTGTAAACTGAAGAGGAATGTTAGATAATAGGGACTATTGTCTTCTACTGATCAGAGAACGTTTTTCTTATATTTCTGCCGGATATCTCTGATCATACATTTAAATCTGTCATGATATATGGTTTTAGATGAAGCAGACATTCAGATTAATTTGCAGAAACCAGTAGGCCTAATTTTCCTACTGGGATCACCTGAGCACAGGCTATGGGATCCATGTTGTGTCATTGAAGAAGCTTAGGACAGCTTGATATTACTTCTTTTAAAGAAAGGAACACCTAATTTGATTTAAATTTTCCAGGGTGGCTGTTGCTACAAATGGTATGACAGTGCCTTCTGATCTGAAATGTAATGCAAATTGAAGTGAATATTTATAATGTCATTTCTGGGAAAGATGACAAAGAGAAAATCCAACAGTGTGGTTAGGTGTAAGTACATGTGAATGGCTGACTTTTTAACTATAATGAGTACTAGTTGTTTTAGAGCTACACGTTTGGTACATTGTAAGGGTGTGCAGGAAACCACAAAAAGATAAATATCAGCTTTGTTTGTAGGAGGAAAAGAAACAGGGCAGAAAAAGAATGTAACAACTGGTTGGTAAGGCAAGTTGGTAAGGCAAAGGCAAAAGAAATTAAAGCCATAAAAACAGGAGTTATAAATAAAGGCAAGGGCTATGAGACAGACCACACAGTGGTCAGCTGGAGCCTTTGTGTATCAGGATTTTAAAAAATGAAAATAAAAAATCCTTTCTCTTGTCAAGTATCACATTTACCCTCACTCCAAACTGTCCTAATTGACTCCTTGTTGAGACTACTGATAAACTATGTTTAAATTATACTGCATATCATAAATCATTGTATTAAAAGAATGCCACCAATTAATGAGCCCTGCTTGGAAAACAAAATGTTTTTACTGTGCATTTTGTTTCCATAAAAACCTTTGCATTAGTGCAGTCACAGCTGTTTTGCTGTCCTGATTCATTCAAGCACAGTGTCTCTGCTGTTTGACAGAAAGGAACACTTCCAAGGTGATAAGCAGAAGCAGCAATCAAGCAATTACAGAAGAGAATTCAATGTCTAATCTCCCAATTCCTAAAAGAACTGTGAATATATGACCTGCCTATAACAGTGAAATGGGATGCTGAGTAAAGTATTAATATGAAAGAATGAGTGACATTTTCTTAAAGGAACCATTAAATTAGGCCTATATTTTTCACTTCCTATATCATAGCTGAATAAGACATTTTAGATTCCCCTTCACCTGTGCCAAAATCAGAGCTATAGTTTTCTGAGTTTATTTCCATTCACAGTTTTTCTCTGGATTTGTCATGAAGGCATCTGTTATACTGCCAATAAGCTGTGACATTTCTTTTATGAAAAAGTATAATAATTGAAGGCTTAAAGGATTTATTCTGTTGGTGTACCTGTTATTCATGTTAATCATTGTGACATAAAGCTTTCCATTCAATTATATATTTCTCTTTAATAAATGAGTTTCAATTGATTATTAAGTGAGAGCCCATTCTCCAACAAGAGAGGAAAAATTATTTTATATCTTAATACACTTCATTGAAAAGAGGTAGAGAATTCTCAGGATGGCATTAAAAATACCATGTCAAAAACTCTAAGAAAGTGTAAGATTCTTGATTGAAAACATAGGCATTTAGGATTTTAAAGTTTTTATTGCTTAGATAACATTTTTTTTGTACATGGGGAGTGAGCTATGCACCTTGCTAGCCAGTTTGAAAAGGTGTTCCCACAAGAAGGCTGTGTTTAAAAATGTGCCTTGGGTAAATATAGGGCAAAGAGAGTGATGAACAGGTTTTACTGTTTGTTTTCTGGATTATCTAGTTGACACTTGAACTGCTGATCATGTTTCTGATTACAGACAGTTCAAAGAATCAGCCTCCAGACATTTGCATTTATCAGCCAAACTTCATTAATCTCTTGTGGAGAAACAGATCAGATGTTTTGGGAAGAGGGGGAGAGAAGAGCAAGTGAAGTGTGTCTCAGTTATCCAAACATAAACAACTGCATTGTCTGGTTTGGTGTTCCTCATAGCTAGTTGAATAGCTAGTTAGTTCAACTTATAGCTAGTTGAATCTGCAGTAAAGTAAGGTGTAGTTGAGCTGTTTATTCTTAGTGAGGAAGTGTCTGTTTTATTTATTTTTAAATTTATTTATTTTATAAATTATATAAATTTATTTATTTTAACAGTGCTTCTATGGCAGTAGACACCTGTTATTATAATTGGGTATTCTTATATAATCTTAGAACAATTTCTAAATAGTTGGTGTTACTGACAAATAGAAGGCAGCCATTTGTTTGAGAGGCATTCAGAAGGATGTAATTATCCAGGATATCAGACACAAAGAACTTGAGCTAGGCGAAGCTGGTTCAGGCATAGCTAAAGCTAAAGTAAAGTTTGGTTTTAAATTGCAAAGGTGAAATGTAGGTCAAAAGCTTGTTCTCGTTGCTCTCAGCTGATTTGATCAACCTCACTGAAGAGTAACTCAAATATCATTTGGCCTTTGGTGTGGCCCAGTAATCTGGGATTTGTTACAGCATTGCTTGGATTCTGGAGGTCTTAGTGAAGATTTTGCCAGGTCCGATTCAGGTAAATTGATCCCTGTGAGTGTAATCAAAGCTGAGAATGAAGCAAACTTCTTAGAGCAAGATTTTTATCTGGTGATTAGATTTTGCATAAACTGTGAAGATATTTAGAATTTAAGTGATGCCTTTTGTCATGTCCCTGTGTAACAACACAGTAAAGTGTGGATTTGTTTCCTATGGCATGAGATGCCCAGAAGAAAAGAGTAAACATTTATTTGTGCACATGTAACAGTTAGAAATAAGCCTTGAAAAGTATTTAAACTGG